AAATAAATTTAGATCACGGCAAATAAAAAATGCTGTTTTGATGTGGAAAATACAGTAACATACTGCATGACTACATACAGTAAAATACAAATCATATTAGGGCTTCACAATAATAAACAATACTAACATTGCAATATTTTCTTTTTCTACAATATATATATATATATATATATATATATATATATATATATATATATATATATATATATATATATATATATATATATTTATACAACAGTTCTGTCTGGTTCTCAAATTTGATTGGCTGATAGCCGTGCGATATTCTGCAATATCAGAACTCCTACAGCCTCTTTACCCTTTGTGTATTACTCCGCCCAAATACAGCCAGCAAAAAGCAGACACTACAGACCGAAAGTTTAAAAGATGCACGCTCAACTGTTTAACTGTCAGCTTATGATTTGAATCTGGAAGAAAGTAGTTCCTCAAACAAAAGGATTTTTGAGACTCTCCATGTTTGATTTAGTTTTTATATACACAATTATGCCGTCAAACTGTTGTATAAACGCAATATCATTCATATATCAATTTATACAATATACTGCATTCTCGTGCCAACGCAGGCCTCCCACCAGTGCTGATATACAGCCATATCGCACTGCTACTCGTGTGATATTGCTCATATATATATATATAATAAAATGAATAGTATATTTGGGGAGAATTCATATATTACGATATATTAGGATGATTTTGTAAGGGAGTGCATCTACATAAAATATAATAAACCAATCACAAACGTTGAGAAATACAGTAGAGCAACAATACTGTAAATATATATATATATATATATATATATATATATATATATATATATATATATATATATATATATATATATATACAGTACTTTATGATTTTCTGGAAGTCTAGCAATATTTAGATATACAAATTTAATAATCAAAATGTTATAGTCATATATATATATACAGACTCCACAAATCATGACTGCTTTTAAAAGTGTTTTTCAAATTCTGATTAATAATAATATCAATGTAACATTGCAGATCCAGCAATGTGACTAATACATATGCGCATATTGCGATATCATTGCTGAAATGTTGTACTGTGCAGCCCTAATTCATATTACATTAAAATACTGTGTAATTTACAAAAAAAAAGGTTTCAGTGCATTACTTTTTTTGTGACTCGAATTGAAATGCATTTGAATGCTGATTTGCATTAATTTTTATTTAATTATTTATTCGTGGAACTTGAAACCAGCCTCTTTTCTCTGTATTTAAAAGGCTGGTGTAAACATTAATAAAGACTTCAGTTTATCCGTTCATATCCAGAAGAAAGAAATTCATATTAATCTGAAACTACATGAGGGTGAGTTAATGATGATAATGTTTTCATTTCTGGGTAAACCATCACCGTAAGTGGGAAAAACAGAGAGAATAGATAAACAGGGTGAGGCTGTAAAAAGGCCAATTCTTCCCCCACATAATCCCAAGAGATGGAAAAATAGAGATTGTGAACTTGTGTGAGCGAAAGATATAAAGTGAGTGGGAGAAAGCAGTAATCAAAAATAGAAGTGTCTAGGGGTAAAGTTACAGGCCGAAAACATGTCTCTGTTAGAAAACAGGAGAGCAGAGCCTGTATCTCTTTCCTTAAAGCTTTGCCCCAACACACCTGGACACACACCAGTGGATACTTTCACTTCACATAGATTTATATATATATTATATATATATATATATATATATATATATATATATATATATAGAGAGAGAGAGAGAGAGAGAGAGAGAGAGAGAGAGAGAGAGAGAGAGAGAGAGAGAGAGAGAGAGAGAGAGAGAGAGAGAGAGAGACAGGTCACTGCACAGGCGAGGAATCAGAGATCTTGTGGGAACCGCAGAAGGCCCAGACAAGTCTGTCAATTGAAAGGATTATGTATTCACCCCCTGGTTATAGTAATGATATCTTCTCTAAAGTAGGAGATGTAGTTCAAGCTGATTTTATTTATCACTTTACACAGTGCTTTACAGCAGAGTAAGTTAAATAGATATTATTTTCCGTCATTGACAGATTTTTTTCAGCAGTGACAAAAAAAATCTGAAGGCGGTCCGTCATTTTGACGGATTATGCCAAGGGTGATCTATTGTAATTTGTAGCTAACTGTAATTCCCACTCCTGTCCAGCTGAAGGCGATTGCCCTTGTTTTGTGTCCTCTGTCACCGATGCATACAGTTGCAAAAATCTCACAGCAGCTGAGTGTGAGAAGTTTCTTTAAACAGCCAAATAGTTGTGATATTAATAATAAAGTATGGCCCGCAGCTCTCTCCCGCACATGCGTTTGTGATGCGGCTATAAAGCACAGGCCCGATTCCTGTTAACCATATCTGGCCCGAGTCTGTCTGTAGAGTCCGAGCTGCTTCTGGCTAAGGACTCTCCAGTGTGGCAGCAGAACGCGGCTTTAGCCTCCAGAACAAATTTAAAACTGTCACGAGAAGTCGACTTTCCAAGGCAAAGACACAGAATTTAATGACAATTGCCTCTGAATCAGTTTCTCTTGATGCGTATGATTGCGCACAGGCAAGCACCCAGTTCAGGTTGACGCAGGAGAAGGATATGAGTTAAGGCAGATATGAGTTATTGTTCATTTGTCAAATAAATAAAGTAATAATTTAGCCTATATGCGCGTCATGCAAGTTCATTATTAAAAAATGAATGAAAAAAGCGATTAGAAAATATGTCAATTAATTGAAGGTCAATAATAGGTTATGACAGAATTTTTACAACCCGCTCCGTCAAAATCACGGACAATGACAAAGTCTAACGTGACCTCTCATATATATATATATATATATATATATATACATACATATATATACATACATATACATACATATATATACATACATATACATATATATATATATATATATATATATATATACATATATATATACATACACACTTTTTTTTTTTAAAAAAGGCTCATTTTACAGTTCGCTAGAGTTAAACTGTTGAGCTTTTACCATTTTTGAATCCATTCAACCAATCTCCAGGTCTGGCGGAACACTTAGCATAAATTATTGATTCGGATTAGACCGTCAGCATCTCGCTGAAAAGCATTAGAGTAGATCATTTTGGTATTTAAAGCTTGACTCTTCTGTAGTTACATAGTGTACTAAGTTTCAAGGCTGATAGGTCAAGGAACTATAGTATCATTCCGGCATAAAAATAAAGATATTTTGCTGCCGTACCATGGCTGCAGCAGGCGCAATAGGAGCACTTTTAGCTTAGCTTAGCACAAATCATTAAATCGGGTTAGACTGTTGCAACTCGCTCAAAAAATTCAAAGAGTTTGGATGATTTTCAAATTTAAAGATCAACTCTTCTGTAGTAACATTGTGTTGTAAGTTTCTAGACTGATGTGGCTCATTTCAGCATAATAATCAAGGAATTTAGCTGCTGTACCATGGCTACAGCTGATTTCCAGGTTTGACGGGGAGCCCTTTTAGCTTAGCTTAGCATAAATCAGATTAGACCATAAGCATCTCGCTCAAAAAATTCAAAGAGTTTGGATGATGTTCAAATTTCATGCTGGACTCTTATGTAGTAAACTTGTGTAGTAAGTTTGATGTGGCTCATTCCGGCATAATAATCTAGGGATTTTGCCTCCGTACCATGATATTACACAGCTCCTGAAAATAGTTCCCATCCATTGATAGATATAGTACAAAAAAGAATAATAATAATCAAAAACTTGTGTACTGATCTTTTAGCTTAGCTTTGCATAGATCAATGAATCGGATTAGACAGTTAGCATCTCGCTGATTTTATTTAAATTATTTAATTTAAAGCTTTACTCTTTTGTAGTGATGTGTACTAAGTTTCTAGGCCGATATGGCGAGGAACTATACTCTCATTCTGGCATAATAATCAAAGAATTTTGCTGCTGTACCATGGCTGCAGTAGACACTATAATAATATGAAGCACATGAAAATAGTCCCCAGCTAGGTGACTAGGTAGTGCTGTGTAATTTCATTGCACCTGCCAAAGCCATGGTACAGCAATGGTAATAGCTGTATGGATCCCTCAGTCGTCCTCAATGTGAAATGGTAGATCTCAAAATCATTTCCCAAAGTTCATGTTTGGAAAGAGTTTAAATGTTTAACTGGGAGTTTAATTGGGAGTTTAACTGCTCAGGAAAAACAAAGGATAAAAGACAATTATAACAAAATATATATATAATAATAAAATAAACACAGTTGCAGATTATTCAGGGAACAACACAGCATTAATCCTTGTGTGCTGTTATAGGGATGTTTTCCTCCACTCTGGGGTGATTTTTAGTCTTAATTTGGCCACAGATTTCTCTGTGTTTCAGCTTGCAGCATGATTTTTGGTGACAAATCCAATTTTGACACATATTTTGGAAAAAAAATGCTTTGAAATTTTTAAAAATACACTCTAGGCAAATCTACTGCCCTTTCAGTATGTTAGTGGTTGTTTTTCCCCATTGTCTTCTATTATAATGACATTTTTGATTGCAAGGCCATGACACCATATAATCATGCATACTTGGCTGTTGCTTGTTTTACCTGTTGGCAAGAGGAAAAATTTGTAATTTTTGCTGTCTGTACGTTAGGTCTACTATTATTTTATCTTGTGAACTATATGTAAAAGTCTTTCGGTGAGAGCAAAGTTTAAAAGAACCTCTTATTTTAGCATAATAATGCAAATTCTGTGAGGCGTATGTGAACTTTTGACTTCATCTGTACATAGTTCCCAACTGACTACAGCAGCTGCTTGTGTGGAAGGCCATATCTGATGCTTATTTGTCCCACATACCATCGCAAAATGGTTGAGAACGATGTTGAAATCAGAGAACGGCTCGTCATGAAACAAAAGAGCCTCTTGATGGGAATTTATGGTCTAGGTTTGCACCACCTAATCCCGTCACACGGTGCTTTTACACAAAAACATGGTACTAAAACTCAAGTTTAGACGATTGGGAGGCTGTTCTTACCATCTGTCTGATTCCACTGAGGACAGTGAAGCTTCTCGCCCACATGTGTGGTGATCTGGTTAGTTAAAACCACCTGAGGGAGATAGAAGGAAAACATCTGTAGTAGAGTTCAGTCCAGCTTGACTGGTTCACATGAAAGATGAGAATAAACAGTCTGCCGTCTCTAAGCAAGTTCAGCGGACACTGAATTCATCATCACAATCTCTTCACAACTGTTGACATCAGTCATTACATAATCATACTAATTACATCATAGAGTGAAGACATGTGGTGAGCTTAAAATGGAAAAACAAAATATGCTGATTTGGTCCTCCAGAAACTTTTTGTACAATTATCAAAGCTACAATGAGTTTTAGGGGCTAATATTCTGGTGGAAAAAAAAATCTTGTGTAGGTTTTTTTTTATTTTTTTATTTTTTTTTGCTAAGCAGTTTAGCTTAGCTTAGCATAAATTATTAAATCGGATTAGACCGTTAGCATCTCACTTGAAAAATTCAAAGAGTTTGGATAATTCTGACATTTAAAGATTGACTCTTCTGTAGTAACACTATGTAGTAAGTTTGTAGACAGATGTGGCTCATTCCCGCATAATCAAGGAATGTTCCTGCAGCACCATGGCTGAAGTGGGCGCAATGATATTACACAGCACCTGAAAATAGTTTCCAGCTATCGATAGATTTAGTACAAAACATTATTTTAATCAGAAACTTTGTGCATGACTTTCAGGTCAGGTGGGAGAACCTTTAGCTTAGCTTAGCATAAATCATTGATTCGGATTAGACCGTTAGCATCTCACTGAAAAATAAATTTAAAGAGTGAATAATGTTCTCATTTAAAGCTTAACTCTTTTGTAGTTACAAAGTGTACTAAGTTTTTAGGTTGATATGTCAAGAAACTATACTCTCATTCTGGCATAATAATCAAGATATTTTGCTGCCGTACCATGGCTGCAGCAGGCACAATGATATTACAGCTGATTTCCAGCTCTGGCTGGAGCATTTCTAGCTTAGCTTAGCATAAATCACTAAATCAGATTAACCCATTAGCATCTTGCTCAAAAAAAGAGTTTGAATGATTTTCAAAAAATTAAAGCTCGACGCTTCTGTAGTAACATTGTGCAATACGTTTCAATAACCAAGGGATTTTGCTGCCGTACCCATGGCTGCACCAGGCGCAATGATATTACAAAGCACCTCAAAACAGTTCCCAGTGGTAGCTAGAGATATAGTACAAAAAATAATAATATTAATCTAAAAAATTGTGCATGTCTTTATAAAGTTACTTTTGCTCAATTGCATCCATTCTGAATTACTTTATCGTAAATATGTTAGTAAAAGTTAAATATTTGTAAAGTGAGCAACGCCTAACACTGGTGTAGACATGTGCTCACTAAAACATTTTGATCTTGTCCACAAAACACATTTGACTGAAATACTTTCTTGGTGTTGTTTTTGAGTGATGCAATATAATTATGTGAACTATTCAGTCAACTACACACAATAAACTAAGTATAAACATAATAAACTTAGTATAATAGACAAGGAAATACAAAATGAAATGTACCTCCATTTTACTGGATTCAGCATCTTAACATATTTTTGTTGTTCGGTGGAAAATGTTTATCTAGAATTCCTCTTTTTGAATCCGTTCAATACATCCTGCAGGTCATTCTCATGATACATTTAAAATGTACAAATGTCTTCACATCCAAAGAAACTGATATGATTCAAATCAGACAAGGAGCAAGAACTGTCTTTTAACATGATCTCCCTTAACTACATGAATATCAGTGTTAATTAAAACAAGCTATATTTCAATCTCAGTACTTACCCTTGCACTCAAAACCACAAAGTAAAGGCTGTTCTAAGTAGGTCAATGTTCTGGTTTGATCAAATGTGGTTCTTGGCCGTAAGAGAACCAGTGCACTGGTGTCTTTATAACACACATAAAAAAATAATAATAAGGCTTTTTTTTAACATGTCTTTATTTATTTTTTTTGCTAAAATCATGGTAGAGTTCCTTTAAAAATAAAATGTATAATGCATGACAATCCCAAAGATATTGTCTCTCATAAAAAGCTAATGCTAAACATGTTGTGTGTGTGGGACTAGTTACTTACACATTTTATCAAAATCCTTCAGTTTTGTTTTGTTTTAATTTTTGCATGTTGTGAAGTAATTTAAATCATTTACCGTGGTGGTATTTAACTAATGTGGTTAAGATCTGGCTGGAATTACTATGGGGTTCCCTGAAAATAATTGCACTTTTTAAATGTAATTCAACTAATTATTATGTTAAAAAAATACATTTTATGGCACTTGTGTTGACGGTAATCAAGTTCAAAGGCGTAATTTTACCAGCTTTGCCCTGACAGCACAATAGAACTACTGCAAGCATCAGAAACAAGTATACCTCATAGAAATGTCCAGTTGCCATGTTATTTGAGCAAATGTTGCTTTCCTGGTAAGAATGTGCAGGTAAATATGTTCAATCCATAGGGCATACTATTAAGCTATTTGGTCATGGTATACTACTCTTGCACTCTGGTCAATGCAGCAACAAACTGCCCTTGCACAGCGCAAGCCATTGAAATGAATGAATTTCATAGCAGAGCACATTCCGCATCCAGTGTGAAAGCCAATTCACACCGAGCAGAGTCTGGAGGGAGAGTAAAACTAGCACACTGAACACTGACAACACTACTTATAGTCAATTATCACACTTAAATCGATATTTGTTTATACTATTTATTTTTTTAATGCAATCACCTTTCAATTTAATTAGTGGGAAAAAAATTTATTGTTTTTACATGTTTATTACTGCATATAATTGATTAAAATAGAAGTTTTTGTTACATAAAGTACAAGTGCAAGCACATTTAGTGCATTTTGGGGTTTTTTCAGTTAAATACAAGAATATTTTTCAATATATATTATATTACTTAGGAATTCTTGAAAGGGTCACCAAACACAAAAACACATTTCATATATGGGTCCCACGTTGCTAAAAACACTATTAGGTCACATGTATTTCAATAAAAAGTGAAAAATGGTGGTTGTTGTTTTTTGCATTATTTTAAGCACATTCGTTCTTACAGTTTGAAAAGTTATTTTGAAGCTACGTCACGGAGTTGAGATCCTTGTGTAAATTCCAGCGTGGAGACTTGATGTCTGTATTGGCCAGTACAACGTGATGTCTTTGAGTTTTTAGCATTAATTCATGAAAAAGACTTGGTTCGAGGACTTGGATCAGCACACTCTTTTGTGGATAAGGTGCAACTTCATTAATATGCATGATAGCTTTGAAGACTGTTTTTACCTGTAACAGTGTTCAGACGGCAGAGAGACGCCACGTTGTGTTGCCAACCATAATTAAAACAAGTGGAAAAAGAATTGTTTAGAGACATAGGTCATTGCATTTATAAATGTGCCGCAATGACGGTTTTGTTTTCATTTCCCCGCTATGAGAGCGCAGCTAGACTCACATGTATGAATTACAGTGGTCTATAAACACGCGACACAAATGTTTGTATTGAACATTTTTTACCCAAGAGTTTTTCACATCTGAAAAAGGTGAATTCCGGATTTGCCCCTCGTCTTCTATTCAAAAACGATTCGGTTCCAGTTGGTGTTGATTGTCCTGTCAACCTTTTTGGTAAGTGTACGATAAATGTTTTTTGTTTATGTTTATTCAGATGGCAAAGTGAGTACTCTTTCAGTCTTTAAAGACATACCATGGTCAAAATTATTTAGTTACTGAGTTTCTAGTACGTTAATATCGCTACAATATTATGGACTAAAAGATCTGCTGTAAATGCCGCTTTTCGAATGTAAACACCTTAATCAAACTACTACCATCGTGTAGGATTTTCGCTGCATTCTGTAACAGGATAGTCTATACACACATAGACGATTGGCGCTATTATCTTAAAGTTTTTTTTTTTTTTTTCTCACATACGGCATACAGTATCAAAAATTACATTGAAACAACACTCTTTCAGTAGTTTTTAGCAGTTAGATAATGTTACTATTATTATTTTCTGATTTATTTGTTTGTTTGTTTGTTTTTTGCATTGTGTATTGTTTGGCATGTTAAAATCAGTATGCTGACATGTTGTAATATTGCTTCCGACCTTCGAGGTTGATTTGCGCCTTTATAAAAAGTGCAACTTACCATAGAATAAGAATGAGTGTTTGGTAGAGTGTACACCGCATGTATCACTTACACTACCGGCCTTCACATTCAGTCCAATGTTGAGAAATGTTGGAGTAAATCGCTCAACTGTAAGTATGAGAGACTTTATTTGATGTGTTGTAAGCAGTTACGTATGTCGATTTAGTTTGTTTTAGAAAGGACTGTTTATTTTTTGCTATCCTTATGCATCTGTTTGCTGATTTTACAGGGAGTTTAGCAATACTAAGTATATCCAACTTCCCGGGGAGCAACTTCATTTCATGCAACAGAGGGCAGCGGGACGTCTTTCCTATATACAACGATTTCCTAAGAAGTCACATTACCACGAAAAGAATCATTGCATCGCTCTCAAGTGCTCTTAACGATAAGTGGTCACTGACTTTATTCAGAAAGACTATTTAGATTCCGACTTCAGAATGCATTGTTTTTTGTTTAGTTATTTGTGATGGCTGTTTTTTTGTTGTTGTTGATAAAACAACATTTGGGTAAAATAAAAAGAGAGTTTCAATTTTTATAATTTGTTTCAAGAGTGTTTATTCAGTGAGCCAAATTTCTGTAGAATCCCTTCAGAGTGATACCAATTTAAGGAGAGGAGGTGTTGCAAGTTCACTGAAAAAAAGTGTTGCATGCAGAATTGTTGAAAACAATTTATTTGTGTTGAATTTAAACAAACAAATTAAGTTTATTAATGTTCAACTTAATTTGTTTGTTTAAATTCAACACAGATAAATTGTTTACAACCACCTTACGTAAAAAAATTAAGTAAATCCAAGGAGTTATCTCTGAATAATTTTTTTCAGTGTTCCTTGCATCCAATATCTCATTTGTCACAGGGGGCATGAATGAAATGTTCCTGAATGAAAGTGAAAGTGCCAAACTG